CACCTCCCAGGTTCAAGGAATTCTCCTGCTTCAGCCTCCCAAGTAGCTGGGACTACAGGCACACACCACCATGCCCAGCTAATTATTTGTATTTTATTCCAATATTTTGTAATATTTTTGACGTTTTACTGTGTTGCCCAGGCTGGTCTCGATCTCCTGAGCTCAGGCAATCTGCCCACCTCAGCCTCCCAAAGTGCTGGGATTGCAGGTGTGAGCCACCGCACTGGCCTAATTTTGTATTTTTAGTAGAGACAGGGGTTTCTCCATGTTGTCCAGGCTGGTCTTGAACTCCTGACCTCAAGTGATCCACTCGCCTCCACCTCCCAAAGTGCTGGGATTACAGGCATGAGCCACCGCACCCGGCCTATTCCTACTAATAGTAACTTTATACTCATTGACCAACCTTTCCCCATGCTCTCCTCTCTTTTCCTCCATCTGGTAACCACTGTTCTACTCTCTATGAGATCAATTTTTTTTTGTTTTAATTCCACATGACCTGAGATCATGTATTTGTCTTTCTGTGCCTAGCTTATTTCACTTAACACCATGTCCTCCAGGTTCATTCATGTTGTTGCAAATGGTAGGATTTCATGATTTTTTTTTATGGTTGAGTGGAATATCATTGTATATATATACCACATTTTCTTTATCCATTCATCTGTTGTTGGACAGCTGGATTCATTGCCTATCTTGGGTAGCGTAAATAATGCTGCAATTAACATGGGGGTGCTGAAATATTTTTAACACACCAATTTCATTTCCTTTGGATATATACCGAGTAGTGGGATTGCTGGATTGTGTGGTAGTTCTATTTTTAATTTTTTGAGGAACCACCATACAGTTTCCATGGTGATGGTACTAATTTACAGTCCCACCAACATTTTAAGTATTCCCTCTTCTCCATATCCTTACCAGCCCTTGTTTTCCTTTGTCTGTTTTATTGTAGCCATTTTAACTGGAATGAAGTGGTATCTCATTGTGGTTTTGGTTTGCATTTCCCTCAGGTTTAGTAATGTTGAACATTTTTTTCATGTACCTGTTGACCATTTGTATATCTTCTTTTGAGAAATGTCTTTTAAGGCAGTTTGCCCATTTTAAAATTCGTTTATTTGTTTTTTTTCTCTTTTTTTGGCTGTTGAGTTGTAAGAAAAAGTTCTAATAGTGGTTTCTGACCTAGGAGTAGGGAAAAAATTTGTCATCAGTTCTTTCCCATCTTTGAAATATGACTTCTTAATGTTCATCCTTACTGTGAAGATAACCTATGAGCAAAGTCCTCTCTCTCTTCTTCACTCTTCGAGTATATTACTGGTATATCATTTAGTGTGTCAGGCTGGGCACAGTGGCTCATGTTTGTAATCCCAGCACTTTGGGAGGCCTAGGCAGGCAGATCACCTGAGGTCAGGAGTTCCAGACCAGCCTGGTCAACATGATGAAACCCTGTTTCTACTAAAACTGCAAAACTTAGCCAGGTGTGGTGGCGCATGCTTGTAGTCCCAGCTACTTGGGAGGCTGAGGCAGGCGAATTGCTTGAACCCAGGAGGCAGAGATTGCAGTGAGCTGAGATTGCACCACTGCACTCCAGCCTGGGCAACAAACTCCCTCTCAAAAAAAAAAAAAAAAAAAAAAAAAAAAAAAAGGTGTGCCATTTTTGTTATTTCCCCCCCAAAGTCTTACTTTTTAAATTATATTTGCCTTGGGGACATTTTATAAATTGGCTTGCATTTCTGAGTATAAACCTATGGGGAAACCTGATAAAATGCAAATTGCTGATCTGTGTGAAGGTAATCCTGTTAATTCCATAGCATCTCTTATTTTATTAGCTCTTCCCATGAGACTGCAAGGAACCCATGCTGAGGCACAAGAGTTAAGCATTTGGATGGCAATTAAAATCTGCAGGGCTGGGCGTGGTGGCTCATGTCTGTAATCCCAGCACTTTGGAAGGCCGAGGCGGGTGGATTGACTGAGGTCAGGAGTTCAAGACCAGCCTGACCGACATGGTGAAACCCCGTCTCTACTAAAAATACAAAAATTAGCCTGGCATGGTGGTGACAGAGTAAGACTGTGCCTCAAAAAACGAACAAACAACAAAAAACCAGACTGATTGCAAAGATTGCAAATTCTTAGATATAGGGACCAAGTCTACAAATGGTTTTTTGAATCTCTGTTTTGTACAGGTTTGTGGGAGATGAGCTGGTAAGCCTTAGAGTTCCTTCCCAGTCTGGTCCCTTTGGCCCCTCAGTGAGACATTTATTTATTTATTTATTTATTTATTTATGAGACAGAGTCTCCCTCTGTTGCCCAGGCTGGAGTGCAGTGGCGTGATCTTGGCTCACTGCAACCCCTGCATCTCGGGTTCAAGCGATTCTCCTGCCTCAGCCTCCCAAGTAGCTGGGACTACAGGTGTGTGCCACCATGCTCAGTGAATTTTTGTGTTTTTAGTAGAGACAGGGTTTCGCCATGTTGACCAGGCTGGTCTCAAGCTCCTCACCACAGGTGATCCACCTGCCTCACCTTCCCAAAGTGCTGGAATTACAGGTGTGAGCCACTGTGGCCTGGCCTATGTTTTTCTTTTTTTGAGACAGAGCTTCGCTCTTGTCACCTAGGGTGGAGTGCAGTGGTGAGATCTTGGCTCACTGCAACTTCCACCTCCTGGGTTCAAGCGATTCTCCTGCCTCAGCCTCCTGAGTAGCTGGGATTATAGGTGCCTGACACCACAACCAGCTAACTTTTCTATTTTTGGTAGAGATGGGGTTTCACCATGTTGGCCAGGCTGGTCTCAAACTCCTGACCTCAGGCGATCTGCCCGCCTTGGCCTCCCAAAATGCTGGGATTACAGGTGTGAGCCACTGTGACCGGCCAAGACTTTTAAAGAAGATGGAGAGAAAGGGGGTCAATGATTTGTCATTTACAGTAAGAATAAAGGAAGTATAGGCATAACTGCTACAGAAAGATTTAAATTTAAACATGACGACATCAGTCTAAATAACAGAGAGGGAAACTCCAAAAGAAAATTATATTTATTTAGAAGTAGCATTGCAATAGGTATATACATGCCATAGAAGTTGGGCAAGTAGGAATTTTTTTGTTTTTGAGTTGGAGTGTCGCTCTTGTTGCCCAGCCTGGAGTGCAACGTCGTGACCTTGGCTTACCACAAACTCCGCCTCCTGGGTTCAAGCAATTCTCCTCTCTCAGCCACCCGAGTAACTGGGATTACAGGCATGTACCACCATGCCTGGCTAATTTTGTATTTTTTAGTAGAAGCGGGGCTTTTCCATATTGGTCAGGTTGGTCTTGAACTCCTGACCTCAGGTGATCCACCTGCCTTGGCCTCTCAAAGTTCTGGGATTACTGGCGTGAGCCACTGTGCCTGGCTCAAATAGGTTTGTTTTTTTTTTTTTTTTTTTTTTTTTTTTTTTTTAGATGGAGTCTTGCTCTGTTGCCCAGGCTGGACTGGAGTGCAGTGGCTTGATATGGGCTCATTGCAACCTTCACCTCCTGGATTTAAGCGATTCTCCTGCCTCAGCCTCCTGAGCACCTGGGACTACAGGTGTGCGCCACCATGCCCAGCTAATTTTTGTATTTTTAGTAGAGACGGGGTTTCATCATATTGGCCAGGCTGGTCTCGAGTTCCTGACCTTAGGTGATCCACCCGCCTTGGCATCCCAATGTGCTGGGATTACAGGCGTGAGCCACCGTGCCTGGCAAAGTGCTAGGATTACAGATATGAGCCACCAGGCCTGGTCGACAGTTTTTGTTATCAGGTATTCATGCATGAGAACCCTCTCTTCATGGTCTTCCCTGGCTCCATTTGTCAGGGTTTTAACACAAATGACTCTATTTTGATTTTGATAATTTTCACAAGGAATATGCTCTGTATATTCCAACAATCTGAGTTTCTCATCCTGGAATCAGCCCCTGAGTGGCACTGGGACTATCCTGAGTCGGCTACATCTCTAGAACCTGTCAGGAGCGGCTCTATGAGCTTGGCCTCATCATCTTCCTCTTCAACTAGCAGCGTCTCTATTTGTCTGTTTTTCCGTTTTCCTATTGATGTAATGGGCAGAACTATCTTTGCCCCTCTTAACTTCTCTAGGAGGTTGGAGACATATGAGAGAAAGGAAGATTTGCCCTCTGTGCAAGCAAAACTAAAACTCTTCGGAATTATATTAGTAGCAACCTTTCTGCCAGACAGGGTGTGTGGAGGAGCTGTAGATTGTGTCCCTTTTTTCCTTCTTCAACAGACTCTTTGAAATAGTTATGACAGACATTACTATACCCATCTTGCAGACACAAAAACTAAACCCTGGGCTTTGGTGAAAAGGTGGATAGTAGAAAATAGGTTTAACTCCTGGTCAGGTGCTCATTGGTTTAATAGGAGCATAGGAGAGTCTTTTTTTTTTTTTTTTGTGGGAAGAGATGGGGAGTGGAGGTGTCTCCATTACCTTACATTCACATTTGTTTTGTTGAACAATGGGTTGATTATTGATGGCCACTGTATTATTCACCTGATGTTAATCATACTCCTAACAAATGATCAATAAATTGCCTTAGATAATTCACGTTACTATACTCTGTATAGTCCTTTTCTGCCCTGGCAGAAATCCTCACGTCTAAACTCGGGCTCCTCTTTTTTTTTTTTTTAAAGTAGAGACGGGGGTTTCACCATGATGGTCAGGCTGGTCTCGAACTTCTGACCTCATGTGATCCACCCGCCTCGGCCTCCCAAATTGCTGGGATTACAGGCGTGAGCCACCGCGCCCAGCCAATGAGGTTCTCTTCTAACCTTTTGCGGATTCCCATTATTTATCTTAAACTACACTCCCATCGTGCAACGGAAAACGGACAGAGCTCCTGCGTGCCCCAAGGGACTTCGAGCCAATCCATTGTCAGAGCTCTCAGCCGGCGACCTATTGGCTCCGGCTGGAGGCGGGACTCTCGGTTGCTAGGCGGTACCTCTTCCGGAAGTGTTTGTTGCGCGCTGCAGGGCAACATCCCGGCGTCCCTGGAAGCTGGGGGAGCGGGTGGGTGTTGGGTGGCGTTGGGGGAGCTGCGCCTCGCCCAGAGCCTCGCCCGGAGCCTTCCGGGGTGGGGGATAGTTGAGGACCTCATCGAGGGAGGGGTTGGGCGGCGGGGAAGGGAGCGTGGCGGGGGTGCAGAGGCACGCTCTGGAGCCAACCAGCTTGATGCGCTCGAGTGTGGGCGGGGACTGAGGGAAGAAGAGAAAAACTGACTGCCAGGCGACAGTTCCTCCGTTTGAAATCTCGCCGGCTCCTGAGCGGGCCACCGGGCCCGGGCTGGGGGTCTGGCGGGTGAGTGAGCAGCGGGTCGGGATGCGGGAGAGGGGCACTGGGCACGGGGCGCTGGTTTGCTTGCTCTGTGCATCGTCGGCGAGTGAGGCTAGGCCTTCCGAGGCTTGCTGGGATACTTCTGTGGCAGGCCCCCCACCGGGTCCAAATCCGGGGCTAGCCTAACCTTATGCCATCTTTTAACCAGCTGGGAAAGTTGGAAAGCTTTTTTGTTTTTTCCTTTTCTTGCACTGATTTAAAAAATCTCCCTCTACCACTGGCACCTCTCTCCTCACTTGGCTTCCGCGACTCCCTGTCGGTCCTCCTAACTCAGTCCTTTGCAGTAGAAAGCCCTCCCTTCTACTTAGCGCACTCCATGTCTTGCGTTATCAGCTTTTCAGCGTTGACTCCCCAGACTACTCCAGCCAGACCTCTTTCCTGAGCTCAGACCTACTTACTGTCATCGTCAGCCTTCCCCGGTCCCTCCGATCTGTTTCTCCTCTTGTATTTCTTATCTCGGTGAAGGGCTTCACCATTCACTCAGCCAAGTCTGTCCCTAGAATTTATTCATCTAATACATGCAACAAACATTTGTCGGACATGTCCTATCTTCCAGGCAGTGTAGTAGGTGGGGCTGCCTATTGGACGAGGCATAGAAATGAACGGAAAATCACAGTGTTCTGGCTTTAGTGCTCTGATTTCCCTCCTCTTTCCCGAAGTTCAAGTCCTGTATTCTGCCTCTTAATTTCCCTAGAATCTGGCCCTTCTTTTCCATCCTCACAGCCACTGACTTAGTTCATAATTTCTTGCTTGTGCTTTCAGGATAACTTCGTAAGTGGTCTCTCTGCCTCAGTTCTTGTCCTCCTGTAATTAGTTCTTATGCAGCTGTCAGAATCATTTATTTATTTTAGAGACAGAGTCTTGCTGTGTTGCCCAGGCTGGAGTGCAGTTGCTATTCACTGGTGTGACCCTAGCACACTGCAGCCTCAAACTCTTGCCCTCAAGCCATCCCCGTCAGTCTCCTGAGTAGATGGGACTACAGGCATGCACCGCCGTTCTTGGCCAGAATCGTCTGTCTGAGCTACAGATCTGATCATGCCAGTCGCCTTTGTGAGATCCTGTGATGGCCCCTCATCATTTACGGGATAGAGCCTCAGTTCTTCCAGGCCCTTTATAATATGCTCTTGCCTATGATTCTAGAGCTCTCTCTTGCCACTCCTCCCACTATCCCTTGCCCTCTGGTCATGTCAGAATGGTTGAGTTCGGTCTTTGGAGTCAGGCATGGATACATATGCTGCTCTACCGTTTATTAGCTGTGAAACCTTGGGCAAGTTTTTTTTTTTTTTTTTGAGACGGAGTCTGGCTCTGTCGCCCAGGCTGGAATGCAGTGGCCGGATCTCAGCTCACTGCAAGCTCCGCCTCCCGGGTTCATGCCATTCTCCTGCCTCAGCCTCCCGAGTAGCTGGGACTACAGGCACCCGCCACCTCGCCCGGCTAGTTTTTTGTATTTTAGTAGAGATGGGGTTTCACCATGTTGGCCAGGCTGATCTGGATTTCATTATCCGCCCACCTTGGCCTACCAAAGTGCTGGGATTACAGGCATGAGCCACTGCGCCCGGCCTTTTTTTTTTTTTTTAAACTTTGCTAAGCCTCAGTTTCCTTATTTGAAAAGTGAAGATAATCTCTATTTTGCTGAGAGGATGAGGTGAGATGATATATATAGAGCACTTAGTACAGTTCCTGGAACATAGGAAGTGTTCAGTGACTATAAACTTTTGTTGTCATAATTAATTCTTTGCACCCACCATATGCTTTTCTTTTTTTTTGCCTTTGTGCATGTTGTTCCTCTGCTGTGAATTCCCTTACTCCGCTTATCCTGGGGAGCGTCTGCTTCTCCTTCAAGAACTATCTCAATGTCCTCTACTCTGTGAGGCTTTCCCTGATCTTCCTAAGATTATTTGCCCTTACCTTTGTGTTCTGTTATATATTATGTTACTTCCTTTAATGCATGTAACACATTTTGTAGTCATGTGTTTACGTGTTTGACTTCCCAGGTAGGCTGAGCTCACTTTCAGGGCCATGTGTAAGCAGGTTTGTAGCCCTAACACATCGCACAATGTCTGGCCCATGTGTGGATGTTCTATAAGTGATTAATTGGCGCAGTGACTCACGCCTGTGATCCCAGCACTTTGGGAGGCCAAGGTGGGCGGATCACCTGAGGTCAGGAGTTCGAGACTTGGCCAACATGGTGAAACCCCATCTCTATTAAAAATACAAAAATTAGCCAGGCGTGGTGGCAGGTGCCTGTAATCCCAGCTACTCATGAGGCTGAGGCAGGAGCATCACTTGAACCTGGGAGGCAGAGGCTGCAGGGAGCAGAGATCGCGCCATTGCACCCCAGCCTGGGTGACTCTGTCTCAAAAAAAAAAGTGATTACTTAATGTCTGAATGGCCTTAACTTATATTGCCTGGTTCTGGATATGTCCTTTGGAGCAAGGTAGAATAAGCCCTTTAAATATGTGAATAGCAATAATAATAATGTATGTGTCTAACATTTATTGAGATCTTAGTATATTTTAAGCACTTTACATATATTGAATCATATAAGTCTCACAACACATTGTGATGGATATTGTTGTTACTCTCATTTAATAGATGAGAAAACTGAGACTGCCCAGCTAGTAAGAGGCAGAGCTGGGATTCAACGCCAAGAATGTTCCAAAACCTTTGCTCATTACCACTGCGTAATCAACTCTAACATGTTCCACCTTCTCCCCATTGCCTTCTCCAGTCAATCTTTTCTGTGGTCAGCCTTCTTTGTAATAGTTGGAGCAGGATGGAAGAAATAAATATACAGGGAACCCTCATTATGCCTATGAGTATATATGCTCTGTTAGGGTGCAGATGTGCAAAACTCTAGCTATGCTGACAAAGTACAGAGCCAGGTAGCCACGATATTGAAGGACTGGGAAACAGTGATACGTATTGAATGGAAGGGAACTGGGAATACTTAGCTTACTTTAGCTAGAGAATCCTGGGGTGCCCCCCAATGAACAGAAGGCAGACTTGAGGTATCAGGGAACATTTTTTAGAACCTGATTATTGGCTTACTATTAGACCTTCTGGTAGTTAAGAATTATCTATGGAATTGAAAATAGAATCTATAGTACTAGCTAAATTTGTGTAACATTTTCTGTATACAGGGACTGTGCTAGGCACTTTATAAGTGTTTCATTTTACTCTCAGGCTTTTTAATTTTTATTAAGATTGTTTGAATTATACACATGGAGTTGTTGAGGCTGAGAGAGGTGAAGCACCTTGCCTAAGGCCATACAGCTGCTAAGTGAGGGAGCTGGAATTTGAATCCAGGTCTTCTGTCTCCAAAGCTGGTACTTTGACCACTATGCTGTCTGTCACTGAAAGCACAGAGAGGAAAATTTTAGTATGGGAAGAAAGATGGACCAGAACTACTGAGGGCCTTCCTAGCTCCTGAGATTCCATGTGTGTGTGTGTGTGTGTGTGTGTGTATGTGTTTTTTTTTTCAGATAGGGTTTCACTCTGTTGCCCAGGCTGGAGTATGGTGGTGCCATCATAGCTCACTGCAGCCTGTAACTCCTGGTCTCAAGTGGTCCTCCTGCCTTTGCCTCCCACTTTACACTCTTTATGTAACTCTGTCTTCTTTTCCATCTGATCACATAGCTCCTGCCTCAGCCTTCTGAGTAGCTGGGACCACAGGTGCATGCCTGGCTTTCTTTTTTTTTTGGGAGACAGGGTTTCACTGTATTGCTCAGGCTGGTCTTGAACTTCTAGGCTCAAGTGATGCTAGGCCTTGGTCCCCCACAGTGTTGGGATTACAGGTGTGAACCATCACACCTGGCCTATTCCTTGGTTTTGTATTAGCAGTTACAGCAGTAACTGAGCTCCGACAGCTTACATAGGCTTATTTTAGGCTTCATTGGAAAATTCCAGAGGAGGAGACCTGGCCCTCAGAAGTTTGTGGTTTAACAGGAGAGGTAAAACACATTTTCATGAAAAAAGTAATATTGGCTGAGCGTGGTGGTTCACGCCTGTAATCCCAGCACTTTGGGAGGCCGAGGCGGGCAGATCACCTGAGGTTAGGAGTTTGAGACCAACCTTACCAACATGGAGAAACCCTGGCTCTACTAAAAAAATACAGAATTAGCCAGGCGTGGTGGCACATACTTGTAATCCCAGCTACTCAGGAGGCTGAGGCAGGAGAATCGCTTGAACCCGGGAAGTGGAGGTTGCAGTGAGCCGAGATCATGCCGTTGTACTCCAGCCTGGACAACAAGAGTGAACCTCCTCCATCTCAAAAAGAGAGAAAGAAAGAAAGAAAAAAAAACAGTAATATTGAGAGTAATCTGCCTGGGAACACATGAAACTTATGAGCTCAGTGCTGAGGTGGTTCTGGGTTGACGGGTGAGGATGAGGTTGGCCGGGAAGGCTTCCTGGAGGAAATGCATGAGCCACTCCTTTTTTGCCTGATTCTGAGATTGGTAGGAGATGCATGAGTGCAGTTGGATGATCCCTCCCAACTCTGTGGCTCACAGAAGGTCTCAGGCTAGGCAGCAAGTAGATCTCACTGGGTTTCATCTGATCTGTTGGTAACTGTTATATAGTGAACAATGTTGAGGGTTCTGAGGCCATGTCTAGGGTGCCATGATTGACTAGTGATGTCCCTCACAGTTTTAGGCCTAGAGGAAAATATTAGGACATGTCCTATTTATTTGCCATGGCAGATCTAAGGGCTGCTTTTTTTTTTTTTTGGACATAGAGTCTCGCTCTGTCTCTCAGGCTGGAGTGCAGTGGCGCAGTCTCAGCTCGCTGCAAGCTCATCTCCCGGGTTCACACCATTCTCCTGCCTGAGCCTCCCGAGTAGCTGGGACTACAGGTACCCGCCACCATGCCTGGCTAATTTTTTGTATTTTTAGTGGAGACAGGGTTTTACCGTGGTCTTGATCTCCTGACCTCGTGATCCGCCTGCCTCGGCCTCCCAAAATGCT